TTTTTTTTCCAATTGAATCAGCTGTCTGTCCCAACACCCCTTGGCTCTGACATCCTTGGTCTGCAGGGCTGTGGAGATGCTGCTTTACAACCAAAACAGGCAGGACCACCAGGACCCCAGGTCCTGCTCTCTTCTACTGTGGCCCATGATACATCTTGTCCCTCTCCTAAGCTGAAAAACCATTCCAATTGCATTGCCTTTCCCCCTAATTGCTTGGACAGGCAGGAGCCTTATTCTGGTTTCTCACCTAAATTTATTCATGAGTGAGTTGTGACCTTTTGCTGATGTTGTCCTTTCACCTTAAACAGCACTTTCTCTTCCTTCATGTTAAACCTCCTGATACAAGGAGAGAGAACAATTTTACCACCTCTGCACCTTCATTTTCTTTGACTAACAAGTCAGGTTTTCCCAGCAGCTGTCTCTTGCAAAAAGGCCACCTTTGCTCTGATGATCCTTGGAGCCAGTCCCAGGCTGAGCTCACTGTCCTTGACCCCAATTTTGGGTGACAAGGCTTGCATGGTGCCTCACACGCAGTGTCACCAGATACCCTACAGCAACTTTGCCCACCTGAAGCACAAACTTACTTATAGTTCTGCAAAATGCCTCTGTGCAAAGGACTTCTGTGTTTGAGGAATGAGATTTTAAAAGGTTTGATCCCTTTCTCAGTGAAGTCACAGTTGAATTTCCCATTGATTGCTGAGGTTGTGTGTCCTGGACTTAATAAACCTTGTTACTGAGTGCCAGAAGTGGTGAACTCCTCTTGACATGATAAATCCCATGCCAGAGGCGTTGATGTGTCTGACAGGGAGCTGAGGGCAGCAGGAGCTCAGAGGAGGTAATGGAAGTGCAGTGCCAGGCATGGATCCCCTTCTCCTGCTCCCTTTTGCTTCTCTCAAGGATTAAAGAGCATATAAATAATGTAATCTCTTCTTTTTTTTCTTTTTAAAAAAGGAGAAAGAACAAGGTGAAATTGTCCCCTTGGCTCCCTTGGCTTGTGTAAAGCTGGGAAGGACTCCAGAGGCCAATCCTGGGCAGGATTTTGGACACAACTGGTGCTTTGCTTTGCATCTGAGGTGTCTGAGTCCTTTTACAGAGGTGGGAACACAGGGAAGAGGATCCTGAGCAGCCTGATCAGTGGAAGATGTCCCTGCTTATGGCAGAGGGGTTGGACTACATGACCTTTGAAGGTCCCTTCCAACCCAAGCCATTCTAGGATTCTGTGCTCCTTCTCTCCAGCCACGGCCCACAGAATTGGGAACTGCGGTTGAGTCCTAAGGCTGGCTGGAGATCAACCAGAGACCCTGTCTGATGGAAACAGAATCCTTCTGTTTCCTGATCTAAGCCCCATAACACAGAGCAGATGTAAAGGTCTAGCAGAGACCAGGAAACCTTTTGTGTGTGAGGTGGAAGCGAAGGGCAGCGCTGCCAGAGCAGGGAGTCTGTGGCAGGGAAAATGGGATCCTCTGGGCAGCGCAGACCTGGCTCTGCAGGGCAGGGGCACTACACTGCCATAGAGTGTAAGCTGACTTTCTAGAGCGATCCCGAGGTCACAGGTCACTAACGCCTGCAGCACGACCTGCAGGGTCGGTGGGATGCTGTGCCTGATCCTGCCTTGCCTCGCTGCTCCCTGGAGGTCCCTTCTGCGTCAACCACCTCCCGCGTGGTGGCCCTGGCAGCTGCTGAACAAAGCGAGGGAAAAGCAGGCCCAAGCTGTGCAATTTGCAGATGATCTGTGTACCTGCTAGTTCCTAACAGATGTTTTCCTTTGCGTGACCATTTGTAAGCTGCTTCCCTGTCACAGGCTGGAGTAGCTGTAAAGCTGGGGAGTGAGTGATATCTCCCACCTGCAGGAGCAGCATTCCCGCTGTAAAACCTGCTTTGCAATTTCAGGAATCTCCCATTACACGGAGTTTTATACCCAGTGCAAACCACGGCAAAATGAGTCTGTTCAGTATTTTTGACACAGGCTGTAGAAAAACATAAACTAGAAGATAAGAGCTGCAGGAACTGGATGGGAGCCACGTGACTCCATATCCTCTCCGAGGGGCAGCCAGGAGCGGGTGCTGTGAAGGGAAATGCAGCAGAAGGCAAAGCTGCCTTGTGTTAGATCTGCTCATCATCCCCAATAGCTGGAGGTTGCCTGCAATATTAATATCACTTTCAGCAGAGAAGTTGGTATTTAGCTGTTGTAACTCCAGCTATTCTTGTTCCCCGTGTACGTGCCGGCTTCCTCTCCGAAATGTCACAAATTCTTGGCCACCACATCTTCCCGTGGAAGTTGACTCCAGGCTTTAATTAGTCATTGTGGAAACCCCGTGTTTCCTCCTGCAGGGCTGTACCTGGGTGGTGTCAGCAGCCCTGAAACGCTGGGTCAGTTATTATATGGTTGATTCTGAGCAGCAAAACATCACCATGGCTTAACTATCACAGGCTTGGGTTGTGCTTGGCTTTTCCAAGAGGTCTTTAATGCATTGAAGGACTGCAATTCCTCATCTCCTGGGCAGGTTGGCAGGTGTATGGGAATGTTATACCATCCTTTGAGTTACCCTTGAGGGGAAGGGGGGTCTGTATGAGAAAGGCTGTGGATTTTTCTCAGCTTCTTGTGAGCTCAACCACTGAATCCTCAAAGTGGTCTTTGGAATAAATGTGCAGCAAAAAGTGAAACAAGCCAGGAGGAGTCTTATGCTGAAGAGAGGAATTTTGCAGAGTGCTGTTTCCTGGGATGTGGCACTCTCCAAAACAACCCAAGCCTTTAGGAGCCTTGAGTGTTTAGGAGGGAGGGATGGGTGCAGCTCTATGGGGGAAGGAGGATGCTCTGCATGGGAAAGCAATGCTTGCCCTGCTGCACCATGTGGCTGCATTCCCAGAAATGCCTTGTTCATCCCCTCTGGAGACAGACAGTACTAAACCACAGGGATGACTCTTGGAAATCTGTTGCTATGTGCATTTTGCACCAAATTCCCGGGTGGGTTTACCTGCAGAGATGTGTGGGAGCCAGTTTGGATTCCCTGTGGGTGCTGCTGGAGCATGTGGCCATCTGTCGGTAATGGCTGCTTCCCATCTGCTGTGGAGCTGGGACCAGGACAGGCTTCAGGGAGGGACCTCCAGGCATAGCATCCTCCAGAATGGCTCCATCCAGCACAGCAGGATCAGGCCTCTTGCAGCAGCTAAACTGAGAGCAGAGTGGCCTCATCTGCAATATTGGGGCAGTTTTGGGTGACACGATATCAGAAAGATCTGAAGCTATTAGAGAGTGTCCAAAGGAGAGAATGAAGATGGAGAAGGACCTTGATTTGAAGCTGTGTGAGGACACTGAGGGCACTTGGTGTGTTCAGCTGGACGAGACTGAGGGGAGACCTCACTGCAGTTCCAACTCCCTGGGTAGGGGCAGAGGAGGGGCAGGACTGAGCTCTGCTCTGGGGGGACCAGGGACAGCACCCAGGGAATGGCTGGAGCTGTGCCAGGGCAGGGTCAGGTTGGATCTCAGGACAAGGTTCTTCCCCCAGAGGGTGGTTGGCTCTGAACAGGCTCCCCAGGGCAGTGGGCACAGCCCCAAGGCTGCCAGAGCTCCAGGAGGGTTTGGATGATCCTCTGGGTCACAGGGGGTGACTCTTGGGGATGTTCCTGTGCAGGGCTGAGGGTTGGACTGGATGATCCTTGTGGATCCCTTCCAACTCAGATATTCTGTGAGTCCCTGAATATAAATTTCTTTGCTGTGTACAACAGAGGAGGAACCTCTGTCACAGGGTCAGGGTTTGTTGTGCTGCCCATGGGCCTCCTGCCCCACAGTGTGACCTTGCTTTGATGGCTCAAAATGAATATGAGGGGTCAGGTGCATCCCTGTAACCCCCAGCTCAGTGTCTCCTCTTCCCCTCACAGTGTGAACTGATCTGCTCTGACAGAAAACTCCAGGAGATTTAAGATGACACCTGCCTTTTAGGGAGAACGGGGTGAAAGATGTGGGTTTGGGGTGAAAGTTGGTCTAGGGTGAGGAGCAACACTGACTGGGGCGTGTGTGGGGTACAGGGAATCTTGCTTGAGACATCTAGAGATAAGAGACTTCCGAGGCAGGACACAAAAACAGAGGGTATGGAAAGGCAAGGAGCATCCCATGTCACAGATTAAAGGCAAACAGGCATTTTTCCATGAGTAACTTCAAAAACCTGGGACAAAATAGGAGCCAAAAAATTCCCTCTGAGACATAGCTCTAAACAAGGGGATTTTCCAAGCCAGCCCAGATCTCCCAGCCCTCTTCCTGGAAGGGGCCCAAAGTAACAAGCACTATTTAACTTGGAAATCTGGGGAAAGGGGAGACTTGGCCCTGCCAGTGTGACCCCCTTTGCTCTGTGTGCAGGGGGAAATTTTTCTTCCCTTCCCTCGCCTGTTGTCAGATTTAAGCCCAGCTAACTGACAAATCCATCTCTTCAGAGATCAATTACAGTGTCTGGTTGCGAAGCCTGGAAATCCAATTAACTCCTAAATATTTTTTTTTCCCGTTTTAAAACAAAACAAAACAAAACAAAAAAAAAAGAGTGAGGGGAGAGAAAGAGGGAGACAAAGAGGGAGAAGCATATTAAAGCGGGGGCATAAATCACCTGGAAAACATTGCAAACATTAAAATAAACAAGGACGAATTTCAACTTCATTTGTCTCTTTTTGAGATTCTGTCACTGATTTATTTTACTGCTCTGTCTGAGCTTCATTTTTGCCATTGCTCATATTCTCTGTCTCTGGAGCAGAGCCCCAGGTCCGGATGCTGCTGTGCTGATGCCTATGGAGAACATCATCCCTTCTGCAGGGCTCTGCTCCCCTCACCTGGGGCTTTCAGGGGTGCATCCTGCATTCAGGGGCTGAGCAGCCCTGCCTGGGTGTTTGGGAGAGGAGTGTGACTCATCAGACTTCCCAGGAGGAAATAACTCTGCTCCTCAGTCACAGACTTGGACTTTTTGCAGCCAAACTGAACCTCTCCATCTCAACCTCGTGTCCTTGATCTTTTACAGGACTCATTCCCTTTGGTCAGCTCTGCCACACCCTCAGGCTTCCAGGAGGCTTCAAGGAGACTCTTCTTCCCAAGGCAGTGGAACGGTGTCCATGTGGAAACTTGCTGTGCCCATGGAAGTGCTGAAGGTGAGCAGGGCCCGGGTGTGTCTCAGCCTGATGGTCTCACAGAGATATTTAGAGGGAAAGGGAAAGGACTAAAGACTGATTTATTTGTGAAGTTTCTGGTCTTGGGAATTGGCCAATCGAGGGTGTGGCAAGTCCCCAGTGATACAGCTGCCTACCAAAATAAGGGGTGTGAATGGCAGTGGAGAGACAAGCAGCACCTTTGCCTGATCAAGAGGATTTTCTCTCTCAAATTCCTCCTGCTTGGCTGGAGCCGTTTTCGGGTGGGAATGCAGGTGGTACCAGTGACAGACACTGAGCACCTGTACAGTAGCTGCAGGTGTGATGTAGTTTCCTTCGGGGTCTGGAGCGGCAGCAAGGTCGGGAAAACCCTGGGACATCCCAAACAGGGAGGGGCCAGCCCTGGTCTGGGACAGGAGAATCTCTGTCTCAGGCAACAGGGCTTTGAACCTGAAGCATCTGGAGGTGGTCCTGGGCGGGGCTGAGAGTCGGACTCATGGTCCTTGTGGGTCCCTTCCAACCCAGCATATTTCGTGATCTGGGCTGCTGCCTGTAGTCCTTGTCCCCCTCCTAAAGAAAACTAAAGAAGCTTTAGTTTTCATTCCAAAGGAGAATGAATAATCCTCGGGGGCCGGTGTCAGGAGGAATCGTCCCCCTTCCTTCAACTCTATCAGAAACTCTTCAAGAGGCCGTTAACAAATAACCTTCCCTCGGGAGAAATTAGCTCCCGGTCCCAATTCAATAGCTGCTCATTTGGAGATGTCCTTGTTCCCTTGTGCGAGTGGCTGATCTTCCTTTGAATCCTGCTGTTCCCGGACCCCGTGATTGCTCCCAGCAATCACGAGCTGCACATTAGCAGCTCATGCACTGATTGCTGAGCAATCCCAACACAACCTTTTGTGAAAAGTTTGGCGAGTTCAGAGCTCTGCTCCCAGGAAGCTGCACAGATCTCACTCCTCGCATGTCCTGGCGAGTGAGGCTTCAGATGAGGGCTGGTTTGCCAGGGCTGCTGTGCAGGGGAGATCTGTGCTTGGAGTCTGGCTTTAGAAACAAAATCTTGTAGGCATTGTCAAGGAAACCTGGTGAGAGCACAGAGTGGTCCAACAGCCTCCAGGCAGCCTGGAGCAAAAACTCTGAGATGTGCAAATAGGAATCCAAATGGATTATTTCTTTTTCCCTCCAGCCCAGTGTTGCAGAATAGGAGAATGGCATTAGGATAGCTTAAAAAACCCCTGAAAACCTCCTCCTGTGTCATCTTGCCCAGACCTTCCAGTGAGAGCTTGTGAGTGAATTCACAGAACTACAGGATTGTTTGGGTTGGGAGAGACCTTAAAGATGGTTTTGTTCCACCCCCTCTAAGGGCAGGGACACCTTCCTCTACCCCAGGTTGCTCCAACCTGGCCTTGGACACTTCCAGGGATCCAGGGGCAGCCACAGCTTCTCTGGGCAACCTGGGCGAGGGCCTCCCCACCCTCCCAGGGAAGGATTTCTTCACAATATCCAATTTAAACCTAATTCACCCAGAGATTGGCCCGTCAGACCGGCCTGTGCTACAAACTCTCCACTCACCTTAATTTCCAGAGCTGCCAATGAACATAGGGATGGATACCCAGAGAAATCCATGTCCAGCAGGACAGAGCAGGCTATGGACAGTTGTTTTGCCAAAGACATTTCCCTGAGAAACCTTTGTTTCAGACAAAACCCATTACTCAGTTTATCAATCCCTAGTCACACTTCAAATTCCTATATCCCAATCCATGGGATAGATTAGATAAGCTTAATTTGAAATGTGAAAGCAGGCTGGAAATCATTGCTGTGCAAATTGTATAGAGGGTGGGCTCTTTTTTTCTGTTCCATGGCTGAACTAGAATTCAAATGAATGAATAAGATCCATTCTGGTAGTTCTCAGTGAGAAGTATTTTTCTTTGGAAAAAGGACAAAAAAATAACGAAACCCCTCCCACCATTTTATTCAAGCCCGAGTGAAGCTTTTCGATTTGGGGGGAATTCAGTTAATTTTCCTACTCCTCAAAATGGGTCAACTTTTAAATAGAAAATGTCACATTGAAACAGAAAGCTGAATAGAAACGTTTAGAAAATGTGAGATTGTATATACATGTATTTGGAGGTTTAACGACATTGTGGATGGAAGGAAAGCATCCAGGCTATTTATAATGCAATTAGGCTGAGACTGAGGACTAGTTTTTGCTCTCAGTAAACTGCATCTCTATTTCATTTAGAACAATCTCCTTCCTCATTCAAAGCCCCTTCTCCCAGCTATGGCTGGGAATATATGGCTGTAGCTGGGAATACAGAGCTTTATAGAGCTGGAATGACTGTGGCTGTCCTGTGTCACATAACTGCAATGTTTTCCTTTTCCAAGGCTTTCCAGGCGTGCTCCCATAGGGATGTTGATATTTGGGAGCCAGGTATGGTGGTGTGATGTGCCAACATGAAACCATTCTCAAGGAAATTTGTTCCAGCAACTTTCCCCTGCAGGTTTTTCCCAAGGTTTTTCCTCTTCTCTCCTATTCTCCTGCAAATGTCCTACACCATGTTTTCCATTCATTATTAAAAAAAAAATCTTACAAAATCCTCTCCTTTCTGGCTTTTTTGGTACCTTTCAGTGTTCCTTCACCCTCTCTCCTTGCAGTTCTGGATGTGTAAGTACTAAGTTGGTTTCTATTCTCACTGTGGGGGTTGGTTTCCAAACTGTTTATTGAGTAATAAAAAGAGACAATTGCAAGTCATTGCCCAGGGATAATGTGCTAATACTTTTATGACTGGACAAAGGGTTGGAACAGCCCCCAAATGGTGGTGAGAAGGAAACCTGGGATCTATTGCCAGCAGAGGAGAGGGACAGTCACTGCTGATAATCAAAGCTGGTGCAACAACTGTGAGCTATTAAAATTGCTTTGGGGGTGGGGGGCTGGATGATCATTATTGCTTTCAGAGCAGAAGTGGTTGAAAGCTTTTTGGAAGGTGTTTAGAAATCAGTGCTACTCAGGGGGAATATGATGGACCACCATGACTGCTCATGTTCAAGTCCACCAGGCCAACAGCTTAAGGCCGGGGGTTCCTGGGAAAACAAAGATTAAAGGGTGCTAATGCCTTCCAGCAAACATGAGTTATCCCAGAGATAACAGAAGGATTAAGTTTCTCCAGGCACTTGAGTCCACCAAGCAATGCCACAGCCTTGGTGCTGCAGAGCAGAGGCAGAACCTACTGCTGCAGGGGGACTGTTGGACTGCACCCACCCGGGTGAGACCTGTCCCATCCCTCTCCCCCCAGACCCTGGGGGTTTCATTATTTTTAAGCTGTATCTGTAGCTAGTTTAGCATGTGAATTATTGAGGCTCCTGATGAACCCCTGGGCTCTGTGTTGCTGTGGGGACAGCAGGAGCTGGGGTGGGTGGGGGGAACAATTTAAAATTTCCAATGTGCCCCTGACCACCCAACATGGGCATTAAAATGCTGCCAGAGAATCAGGAGTGAACAGGAGTGCTCAGCTCACCTGTCTGAAAACATTCTGGGGTGCTGTGTCCCTCTGGCCCTCTCCAGGAGGAATTTCTACTCATTCTTGGGAACAGAACATCATATTGGCACTATCTGGTTATGGAGTTCAGTGGAGGATTGACTGAGGAGGGCCCTGGAGAGGCGCCACTCTCTGCCCATTCCCAGGAGCAGGAATGAGCTGTCCTTCCAAAGCAGCAGCAGATCCAGGCCTTGGAGTGGGCAGGAAGCCATGGAACTGGGAGTAGCTGTCTGCAGCTGCCAAGCCCTCCCATTTGTATGTTAGTGGTGCAGATAGAATCTCATAAACTGGCCTCCATCCTGCTTTACTGTGGGTTTAATGAGCGGAGGAAGAACTCGGCTGTTTATTAAAACATTAGACAGTAAAGTTTAACAATAGACAATAAAGGGTTTTGTTTTTCCATCCTTCTGACTGTCAAAGCTACAGCACTTTGGGCTGGAGAGGGACCTGCTCCCAGTCTCCGAATGCAGAGTGACAGGAGGGGGTTGGGACAGAGGCAGGGGAGTTGCAGAGGAAGAAATGGAGGCTGAAGCAGAGCCTGGAGTGATGGGACTTGGCAATCCCCAGAGCACCACACGGGGTCCAGGTGCTGGGAGTGGTTCTGCTGTCCCCGTTTCAGGCACAAGGAAAGGTGAGAGAGGAAACCACAGCTGCCTGACATGGCAGCAGGACCTCAAGTGACCAGGAGACCTTGATCTAAGAGGACTGAGGGAGCAAAAGGGAGGCAGAAAGTTTGGATGGACCTTTCTTCCAACCAGGGCTGATGCTTTAGAGACACCCCAGCCTTGGGGCTCTGCATTTGTCAGTTTGCACCCAAAAAGTAGATCAGTTTGGGGGCATCAGGGCCCAACTGACCAGACCCCCGTTGCCATTGTGAGACAGCAAAGCCCCTGGTGTTCCCTGTGCTTGTCCTGACCATTCCCTGCCAGCCACTCTGGCTCAGGGCCCTTCAAGCCAGGTAGCAGGAACGTGCCATTGTACATCATTCTGTCACCTGGGAACAAACTGCAGTCCTACAAGGCTTAAATGGACTCAACTTGCCTCCTCAGCCTGGAAAATCTCCGTGCATCTCAAGGATTAAATCCTGACCCTAGTGAAAACAAGTGAGCATTTTCCAGCTGACTCCGGGGGGCTGAAATTTAATTCCCAGTTTTAAAGGCTCTTTAAAATCAGCTGTGATATATAACCTGGCTTCTCAGCCTCTAAATACCTCAACAAGATTGGCAGCGCTCCAGGAGGGCCATGGACAGGATTACCAGCAAATCCAGAGGTCAGGAGAGAAACTGGGGAGCCCGGTTGGGGCAGAGTGGAGCCGCAGAGCTGGAATTGCCTCTGGCTGTGGCTGTGGTGTGGGGGAAAAGCTGGGAAGCAGGTGAAGTCCTTTGCTTTTTTAACCATGGAAGTGGTGTGGATACATTTCTGTTTGTGCTTGCCCGTTTTGGAGTGTGTTTGTGCAGACGTATTTATGCA